TACAGTTAATCAAAATAAAAATGTAAATATTTCCATTAAAATTTACAGACCACTCAATTTTATCCAAACACCATGAACTCCTGGGTTAATATTCTGTGCAACACCCAATCATTCAACACTTAGATTATACAATAAGAAAAGCTTCAGCTCTCTGCCGAGGAGAAACATCATTTAACATATTCCAGATTTTAGATATTCTAGGACCCCAAATCTTGTCCACCTCCTGAATAGTTTGGGTCCCTCATGCTTCTGCTGTGGCTGGCACAGTCAGAGTATACAAGGACATGGATAAACCCCCTGTGGCTGGAAAAAGGTGTCAGGTAGCTCTCTCATTGAGAAAATGGAAGAAGACAGACAAGACAAGAAAGAGCTCATCTGTTGCAAGCTTCCAGTTACCAATGAAGGTCCCCCTCACTGTAAACTTAGTGCACCCACCAAACTTGTGGTGTATCTTAGGTGCTGGTTATTGGATGTGAATTTTATTTTACTGTTTGATGGCAATAACATTTTAAAGTTGTATTAACTCCCTACAAGCATTCTTTGTGTATTCCAAATACACAGTGCTTGGATGGGTCAAGGAGCAGGCTGTCTGCTTTCCAGAGTTCTCCTAACACCAGGACTCTCGCTGTGTGAATGCAAGGCAGTGCTTCCTTGGCCTGGCTTCCCAATGTAATCTGACAGGGTAGCTACAGGAGAGGTTTGACCCTCTTTCCATATTGTCTCCGAGCTGGCTCTGGATTGCTGTCAAATGTTTCTCAGTTGCACACTGAGAAACGATTAAAATAAGAACCAGATACTCTTATCAAGATGTAAACATTAGAGATGAAAAGTAATTAAAACAATTACTGTTTTATAAGCCCTTTCCCACCAGACTGGAAGCACCACCCTGCAGGGAAAGCTCTTATTTCTCCTGCTACTCTTGTAGCAGACACGGGCAGTGCCCCTCTCTCCCTGAGTAGCTACCATTCCCAGTGGGCTCTCACTAGAAGGCAGATCCAAATTCCAGAGTTAATGTCCCAAAGCATCTCTCAATGACAACGGCAGTTGCTGAGTAAGTGCCCCGATTTCCCCACTCTCCCTGGGATGGGGCAGTTATGAAGTTTGCTCTGTGCATCTCCAGGGGACATGCCTGGAACAAAGAATCCTATGGCTGGTGGCTGCAGAGCTCAAGGCTGCCCTCCATACGCAAGCCCTTGATAGAGCTCCCGGCTGAATTGCTGACCAGCCTGCTCTCACCCTTTGGCTGCTTTTCCTGGAGACCCTCGAGAGCGACAACCTGGGCATACCAAGCACGTTTCTTGGTTACAAAGTGCCAGGTAAGTCACAAGTCCACACAGATTCTCTGGCTCAGCAAACCTTCTGTGTGTCTGTGACAAGGATGCTTGACCCATAGGAGGCTCTCCCAGGAGTGGTGCATAAAGAAAAGTAAGGCATACCTGCTTCAGCTCAGACACAATCTCCTATAGATGGTTTCTCCCCAGTATTCTGTTAGGAACAATACTGAAAGGCTTACAGGGCTACCCCAGTGTTGTGACTCAGGAGGAGGGCACTTGCCCAGCATACAGATAGCCATGGGTTCAAGCCCCAGCAAGTAATGACCCCCAAAAGACTCACAAAGTCCCCAAAGATGCCTCTGTTGTTGCCCCTGCCTCGACATACTTATTATACCTTCTGGGCAGGAGCTCTGGACCCAGCACCTGGGAGAATGGCCTTCACCAGGAAACACCCCCTCCCTCTCCTTGCTGCTGCTTTGGAAAGGAGATCTCAGTATCTTTCTCAGCAGTTTGTTGGATTCCTTTTGTGCTGAGAATGAAAAGGGACCCAGCCTATGTTTTAAATGTCTGTGAAACCTAAATCTGGAATAAAAGAGAACAGAGGCAGCCTCCATGTTCTCTTATGGTTTTGTTTGTTTGTTTGTTTTCTGACAGGGGATATAAAAGTTTTCTTTAATTCAAGCGATCAGCATGTTCTGGCTGGCTCACTGCTTTCAAGTGAGGAATCTCCCAGCCCATTTAAGCCAGAAATCTCCCAGGCCCCCGAAGGAACAAAGGACGTGCTAGGAGTTCATAGCAGAAGGGCAAGTGAGGAATAGGAGATCTATGAACTGCCGGGACAAAAAAGCAGTCACCATACCAAGTGTGTTTGGTAAATAAATGAGCCAAATGTGTCCTCTACCTATTGTTTATTTCTTTATTGCAGGCTGAGATCTCCTAACCCAAAAGGTTGCTGTTGTGAAATTCACAGTTTTGCACATCCAATTATTTTAAAATAGCCCAAACAAGCAACTGCTTAGGCATTTACAGCCTTCCTGCTTTGATTGAAAGCTTACCTACTGGCTGTCACCCACTGATAAGATCAAGCCTCATAGTTATAAAGCTCAGGAGCACAGAAGGTTTAGGAGCTAGACACCCCCACTCTCCCACTCTGGTGCCACTGAACATCACCTAGAGATGTGTGGCCTGCTCCCCAGGAGTTCCTTGCCCTTCTCTCCTGTTGGGTGGCCCTTGTGCCATGAGTCTCTACCTGGACAGTCTCATACAGTGAGGAGTTTCCCACCTCATAGTATGGGCTAATTCCCCCCTGTGAAAGCTTGCTGTATCCTTCAAACCCACTACGGCAGTGGTGGCAAACCTATAACATGCATGCTGCAGTGGGCTATTTGCTACCACCAAAAGCTCTAAAAGGCTCATCGTCACTGCTCTATAGGGTGCCTGGGCACAGTCTAGCCATGGAGCATGTAGGGCCCACCCCTAGACTGACTGAAGCAGATCTCACGTTATGGTCTCTATGGTTCGCACACTGCAGCTCAAGATTTTTATGCACACAGCAACCAGAGAGATGCGAGGCCAGCAGACGCTTGTCTGGGATCCATGTGGTAGCTGAGCAGAATGTATTTGACAGGAATGGTGTGATAGAGATATCAGTGCCCATTTGGGCTCCTCTTGGCCCTGTGAGTATCCACAAATGCATTTCACAGTTCCTTTCCTGCTTTTCTCATAGAGTCTATTAAGTAGGCAGCTGTGAAGGCTGGTGGGTATAGCCTCCTCCCTTATACTGTGCTGGACTGCAGCCACACACACACACACACACACACACACACACACACACACACACACATAGTAGTGGATGTGCAGATATATGACCCAATGCCCGGCTCTTAAGCAGGCACGCTCCAGTCACACCTACACTGGTATCTGCAACACACTGAAAGAGCCCTGGATGCCTGTTCTGGGGAATTGGGTTCCAGGACTGGAACTGCAGAAGATATCCCAAACCAGATTATTAGAGTCCAATAAATGGATCAAAAAAGGCTTTTTACAAAACATAATAGGAGGCAGGTACTGAGAGGAGGAGTCAAGAACAAAAGAACCTCTTCCAGCAAAGGCGCAGGATTCAGTGAGTGATTCTGAATGGAACCGGCCTCCTCCCAGGAGTATGCGTGCTTGAGCCTGGGGCACCACGCAGGAGAAAACATCCTCATTATGAGCCAGAGAAGCCGAGGCAACCCAAGTACAATTTGTTTATGCTTGCTCAATCTTGGTTTAGGAAATTATACACATCTGCCAACACCCTATGCCTACCAGCAATGTTCGCTATGTAGCACCCTGAAACAGATTAAAATTGTGTTTGAAACAAAGAGATCAGAGCTCGCTTCAGCAGTGCAGACACTAAAACAAAAGAGAGCGTTAACTCCCCATGGTAAATTTTACCAATTTTTAGAATGTTGCTTCTATCTTAATACAATACTTATTTACTCTATGTGCACAATTTTAAATGTCCATGAGATCTAATTTTGCAGCCCATAGACAAGTGTAAGCATTGACTTAGAAATAATAGTGCAAAATGGGTATTGGTTGACTTGAACTCATAAAAGAATTCAGCATAACACCAGCAGTATCAAAACGAAAAGAAGTATCTAGTAAGAGCTAGTCACCAGAACACAGTCACCAAAGAGAATTAAAATACACATGCAGACGATGAAACATTTGTGGTAGGGACCCTGGAAATGATATAGCTGCACAGCTTGATACTTTCATCATGAATTCCTGAACACCAAGAGTTGTAGTCAAATTGTATTCAATATTTCCAGCTTTAAAAAGATATTGTTATTCTTTATAAATGCGCAAAATATTTCAAAATGAAAGAAAAAACAGCAGAAGCAGAGGGCATAGCCCCATGCAAAGGCCCTATGTTCAATACTGTAACTCACTACTGAAAGGAAAAGAAAAAAGTCAAAATGAAATACTCTGTCCTTCCTTGCACACAGGTAAGACTGACATTGTTTCAGTAAGTATATTGCATTCTGATTTGTCCAGCATACATGAACTTGGAAGTCTCTATTAATTGAATCCAGTTTCAGAATATCAATTTAGCCAAAGATAACCCTACATCTGCATCTGGTCCTGTATGAAGTGTTAATAATACAAAGATTAAAGGTGAACCAGGCGTGTCTCTCAAGGACAGTTTAAATTAGGGATTCCCAAATGCCTTTGGAATAATCATAGGGTGGTAACAAGGCACTGTATTTGGAAGAGGTTGAATGGAAGCTTATGAAACTGTAGCTTATGAAAGCTGGAGACCTTGGGAAATGGGGGTGAGTGGCACAGATGGGGATTTTCTGATAACATTAGCATGTTCAAGTGGTTGTATTCTCCTGGGGATTTCCAACCCAATGGCAGGCACATGTGAAAGAAGCAGGTTCTCCTCATGAGAAATAAACAGACCATCCAACTGTCTTAATAATTCTCCTGTACACAGGAATGAGGAACAGGGAGGAGAGACAGAGAAGAAAGAGAAGGAGGAAGAAAGGGCAAGCCATTGAGGAAAGTCGATATATACAGTATAGTGCCTTTTTAACCTTTGGAAATTATTACAGAGACATGTAAGCCTAGAGAAATCCAAGCAGTAACATCCTAGGATGCTGGCAGGATCCTCTCCCCACGTATCCTTAAAATCAGCATTCTGTCTCCCTTCCTCATGACTCCCCAGCCCCCATGTACCTTCACTGAAGACAAAATCTGAGAGGATGTCAAAGGGTTGGATGTGGACAGCAGACAGGATCATGGTGACAGTCTTCTGGGGATCGCTGGAGGCCAGAGAGATGGTCTGCTGAGCTTGACACTCATAGGACTTCCCAGCTGGGGTCACCAAGGCAGAGAGGTGGTGGGAGTTGGCTGTGTGCTTCCCAGCTGCAGCAGAGCCCAGGGCAATGGTTAGGCTCCTTCACTTTGAACCCAGGCTTTTCTTGCTCCTTGTGCCCCATTCCCCTCCACTCAGCTTAGACACTTGCTCACCTGCTCTATCCCTGCTGCTAGGCCAGAGCTGGGCCTCACGGCAGCCCTGAAGGACAAACACATCCCATCTCTCCGAGCCAGAGGTGCTTCAACATTACTTGGGAATTTCTTTTTGGAAGAAGTGAATGACACACAAAAACCTCCACCCTTCTTACTATATAAAACCTGACAAGTGAAATTATAAAACCATAGAGGACAGGAACTTGGGTTTCTACCTTTAACACTGGATCAGCAAAAAATAAAAATCCTCCTCCTCCACAGAGCATGGCTGCTTGCTGGTGCTCTGGCAAGGCCCTTGCACAACTATGTATGCCTTGGCCATCTTCCCCCTTTCCTCCTTCTCTGGCCCAAGTGCATTTTCCCTTCTCTGTTCTAATCGAATTAGGGGAAATGCTGGACTCGGAAGAGAGAATTCTCCTTTTACAACCACAATAAAAGGGGAAGAAATAAGAGCGATGGCATATGCATTCCTTTACATCTTTAATAAAAATCCTCACCCTATTTAGGTGCCTAGCTGAGTAAAGGAAGGCATCATTTCAAGGGAGACAATTTAGACATATATATATATATATCCTTTTCTAGTGCTTCAAAAAAGGTAAGTTTTCATTTAGAGGGCAGATATTTTTCTCACACAATATTTTGGGATATTTGTGAAAGATCTGGGTGAACTGATGGAGGACAGAGCTGGAAAAGCTAATCACTGACACAGGGCACTAGATCTACTCTGAGGTGGCTGCGGTCCATGACAAGATGCAGATGAGCCGTGGTGCTGTGCACAAAATGATACCCAAGGCCACCCAATCCCGACACAAAAGGAAAGTCCCTTTGTCCCCTTGAATTTTTAGCACCTATGGAGTGGAGGAAAATTTAAGAAGCTTTGCCCTTCTCCATCTTCCTTCCAAGGCCAAATCTTGAGGTCCTTTAGAAGAGCCAAGGGCGTATCTCAGCCCTCAGGGGGTACCTCATCTGGGAGCGGTCAGGCCTTGAGTAACCAACTCATCTTAGGCAGGCGTTTTCTAGTGCATCTGCAAAGCTTGAGCCTTTAGGGCTCAAAGGTTCTCTGGCTGTTCTGCTTTGGAGGTCAAGGCAGGCAGGCCACCCCTGGACTGGCCCAAGCCCAGATACACTGCCGAACGCCAGTGGGATTCCCCCAAGAAACTACCCCCAACCCTGCCCTTCAGGACAATACTCACCACTGACGGCGTCTTTAAAGTGGGTCTTCTCAGAGGAGTCATAGACAAATTGCACCTTGCTCAGCCTCCATGTTGCCTCGGGTCCCTTGGATGTGTTGTGGCTTTCCTGCCAAGAGCAAGAGGCTTGTGTCAACCACTCCAGTGACTTCTCAGTCTGTAAACCCAGTCGCCACTACTTCCATCACACACACACATACACACACACACACACACACACACACACACACTTCCCCTGCTAAGGCACCTCCTTGCCCTCGCTATAGCCTGGGAATTACCTTTACAAAGAGCATTTTGAGTGCGTAGGCGCGATCCACCCAGAACACCTGCAGCTCTGACTCATTGTGGCCACAGCGGCCTTTCACCTCGGCTCCCCGGGTCAGGGCAATGTCAGCCTGTTCTGTGATCAGCTGGGAACACAGACGCCCGCGCCCCCTCAGCGCGCCGGGCCCGGGGGGCTTCAGGGCGGCGCGTCCAAACTCTGGATTGCACGTTTGGGCGCTCCTTTGCGCGCGCGCTCTCCCAGGTCCAGGAACATGCGGTTAGATGCTCTACGTGCGGACCCGCCGGTAGGGAAGTGGAGAGGGGGGTTTGTTTTCAAAGCAGGCAGGGCGAGCAGGAGACGTTACAAGCCGAACCTCATGCAGCATTCGGGAGCAGCCTGCAGGGGTTTGGGGGAGAAGGTGGGTGACCCAAGGTCTTTGCAGGCCCCTGAGGGAGAGTGCTCTGGAGCCCTAGGAGCAAGCTGGGGGAGGGGGAATTCCTTACATCAACGTAATTGCTGGCCCACACATCATAAGGTACAATAAATTTGGCTGCAAACTCTGCCATGAGACACGTCGTCCCATTTTCCCGCACTACAAATATATCTTTTTCAGGGTTAGTGGAAAGGCCCGAGAGATTTTCCACTTCTTGTTCTGCTGTGATTTGAGCCACTGTGTCTGTGGAACAAACAAAACAATCCCATCAGTGTGGGGCTCACAGGGCCCCTGATTCCAGGACCCAAGAGGGAGCGCAGCGCCCCAGGTCTTCAGGTTTGGGGTGACAGAAGTTGCGCGCTAGCAGCTGTGTGCTCCTTAAGCTACTTTGCTAACCCAGTGCTGTCAAACTCAACTCATTCGCTGTTGATTTATAATGGAAACAAAAAGCCATCCTTATTTATAAGTCTACATCCTGGCTGTTCAAAGCTAAATCTTAATTGCCAGCGCTGTGACCCCCACCCCCACCGCTGCCTGCCAGTCCAGCGCTGTCTGGGATATGCCGCACGGATATATGACTCTCCAGAGACTTTCTGGCCATTAGTGGGGGAAAATATCCCCATCTCCCGGGGGAGGTGGTACAAAACAGGAAGACGAAGACCATTGCTATGCCAATCTTATTCTCTGCAGAGTCCATGCCTCCCGGTCACAAAAACGCTACTCACTGAACAGCACGAGGAGAACTCGAAGCCTGTCAACGTGGAAAAGGGCTCTTCCTCGGAGATCCATGCTCACACTTGCGCCCAATGGAACCCGATGTGCTGCTGCAGAGGCCACCCGGAGATAATCCCTCAAAATCACCCCTGGAGTGGGCCGGAGTGAGCGCGGGGCGGGAGTGGGAGGGAGCGCGAGGCCAGTGCGCGCCGGCTGGGTTGCTGTCCGAGCAGCGCCGGTCGCCGCGGGTCGAGGGAGTCAGCTTACTGCGGAGAAAAGGGGCGCGCAGCGAGGGAGCTGTCCGCAACTGCGAGTGCTAAAAGGAAGCCGGTTGTGTTGCAGGCGTGGTCGTGACTTGGCTTGTGCTGAGGGCCAATGAGATTTGGGGGAGCTTAAATTTTTTCCTGGGTCTGTTTTCTGTTCTGCAATTGTATCTGCAAAGATGAGTCTGTCCTGAGAAACTTGAGACCAGCTATTTTGTGGTATGGCTCTCCCATCACTGGAGTCCTGAATTCCAAACATGCATAGGGCTCCCGGAAACCAAACCAAAAAGACAATAAAAACAAAAACAAAAAAAAGGTAGGCACGAATTGTGCCTGCCTTGGAGGAGGAGGCGTTGCGGAACAGAGAAGGAAAATGCTATGGCAACAGTTTCCTGCATTTGGAGACGTTCCCTTCTTGGCTCTGCCCCGCTGTCTGAGCTCCCGGGGAGCTCCAGGCTTACCGTTACACCACTGCACCGATGCCTCCTCACCGGACCCCGTCAGACAGCGCAGGGTGCCCACTTGGAACTATAGCCCGGGAAGTTCTGCTCCCTGCATGGGTGAGGATTCTGCTCTCTGGGGTCATCCATCCTTCCTCATTACAGTGTAATTCCTCTGCCAGGAGGGATGTAAATGAACCTGAAATTACTAAGATTATCCAGAGTTTTTTAGGGTGGGAGTTTTAGAATTATGTTGTAAGTAATATCACACACCTAGGGAAAAAAAAATCATTCTGGTATTGCTTGAAAGCTGCTAGTAAAACAGAAAGACAACTATTACTGGAATAATCCCACATTTATATTTTTGGTCACTTGCTTTTTTTAAAATTCTTGCTCTATAAATTAGAATATATTTCCTTCAGGAATATGTGTGATGTCCTCATTAATTGCGATGATGTCCAAATATTTCTTTTCTTAGAGGACGTTTCATTGCATGAATAAATAACCATTGCTTTGGTAACATAATGTTATAAAACAATGTCATGTCAAAAAGCAAATTGCAAAATATTTTCATCTGTATTGTCTAATTTGATCTTCCCCACAACTGTATAGGACAGGGAGGATCTGTGTGCTGTGCTTATATACACACCCGTACTGAGGCTCAGAGAAATAAAATGACCTTCCTTGATGTCACATGGCCATTTAGAATTAAAATAGAAAAATCACATGCTTTAACTTTGTACAGATCATCCCTATATCTTCTTATGCAATATTTTAACTCTAATATATATCGTATTTTGAGTTCTACAAAAAATATTTTTAATGATCAAATAACAAGCGAAAGCCTAAAAGCTCTATCCATAATTCAAATTGCTGAAATGTATATTATGATACATTTGCTTGAGGGTGTCTGTAATTTTTTTGCCTTTCAAGCATATTGCTGTATAAATAACTAGGTCACTAGCTACTTGAACTATGAAGCAATATTTAAATTTATTTACATCTTTACTTTTACATCTAGATTTCAGAATTTGTTCAAAAATTTCTCCAAAACTTTACATAAATAATTATATATATGGATGAAGAGAGACCAACTGTGATTGATACAAAGTCTATTCATATAAATAATAACAAATGAGGGCCAGGGAGATGGCTCAGTGCAATAAGCGCTTCCCTGGCAAGGGCCTGAGTTCAATCGCCCGTTCCCCTCCCCCCAAAAAAATAGTAACATATGTAAAATTTTTTTAAGTTTTTTTTTTTTTTTTTTGTGTGTATGTGTGTTCAGGATCTCACTACACAGTTTGGACTGGTAGTTATCCTCCTGATTTATGCGTCCCTAGTGCTGGGATTACAGGTGTGCACCACCAGGCCTGGACTCCATCATTGGCTCAGTGTGCCGGGAGGGCGGGGGTGCTGGCCCGGCATGGCATGTGGTGCTAGAGATTGAACCCTGGCCCCTGTACTTGCATAAGCAAGCACTTAGTCTGGCAAATGTAAAATTTCTATGTTTTCCATTTTGTTATGTTAGCAGTGATTATGCTTTATTTTGTTGTAGAACTGTAAAAATATAGGCATATGTTTATAAAATGAATTTCTCACTCTCTTTGTCTCCATCGCCCCAAATTTAATGAGCAAAAATAATTATTTTTATATTTCAATATTTATCACTTCTATGAATTTATACATTTTCATTTTTCTTGTCTAAAAACATGGGATAATACCTAGTGAATGGATAGTTTGGTCAAATGAGGCAATAAATAAAAAATATTCAAATTAAAATAGTCATAATTGTTAATTGTGTATCTACTACTTACATTATACTTAGGGCTTTAGAAAGCAAGAGATAAATCAATACCCTTATACAAGTAGGAGAGATGCCTGTTAAATATTCTATTTCTTTCGTGATGTGTTATTACAAATAACCTTATCTTACAGGTTGCTAATAAATCAACTGATTTTCTTCATCTACTATAATAAAAGATTACATGGGAAGTATCATTGATCTTAACATGTAGTAGTTGGTTTATAAATCATATAGTGGTTCATTTAAAAATATTTCATTTTCATGCCTGGTATAACTGACTTCTCATTGACCCTAGAGAGTATTGAAACGAATGGAAAGAAAGTATGGAGTCATTTAACTCTTTTTCCTGGAAGGATTATCTTCAAAGTATAATTCATTCAATGTTAATTTTTGTATTTAATTTGAAACTTGATTTATACTTATAAATATCTATTAATGTATTGATCTTATGACAGTGATTCTTATTTACAATTCTAATAAGATAATTCTATCTACAACTTCCACCTATATTAATTTAAAGATTGAGTTGGGGCTGGGGAGAAAGTTTGGTGGTCTAAGTGCTTGCCTGGCAAGCACAAGGACCAGAGTTTGATCCCTGGTACATTCTGTGCCATGGTGGTGCAAGCCTATAATCCCAGGGCTGGGGAGGCTGAGACAGGAGGATCACTATGAGTTGAAGCTGTATAGTGAGATCCTGTGCCAAATAAATAAATACATAAATAAATATTTTTAAAAGTTAAAGACTGAATCATTCTGAAAGACATACTGTTTTCCTTAAAATCATCAGAGGTGATAAAGGAAAACAACCTCTCCTATAAATTGTAGTTTAACATAAGAATAAAGTGCCAGCATTTAACCCAGGCCTCATTTCTAAGTGTGAGAAGGTAGGAGAAACTGACATAAATATATGCCCTGTAGGGAATCTGGACTGATCCCTGGTACATTGGACTGGGCGCAAGGTGATTGTTGCTGCTGGGGCTTGTGTAGTAGGTCAGGAATAAGTGCAACCCATGCATCTTGGATTTGGAATCTCCTGTGGATCTTCTATGTCTTTCTAAAGACACGCTTCAACTCAGACATTTACGTGCTGAATTCTCCTCTGTGAATCGCAGGCCATCAGATGGTTGTTATTTCATATGAGTGGAAGAAAAGGTCCAAGCATAGAATTTCCAGTTTGGATGGAAGAAAATAAGAATATACTTGAAGATGTGGTAAAGCCTGGTGAAATATGCACATAGATATTTACAGGGGGAAAGGAAGCCAGTTATCCCAGAAGAGAGATTACAACTGACAAAGATGACCTCTTTGAGAAGGCCAATCTTCTAAGAGGGGACAGATTAAAATAACATGGGGCAGAAAATAGGCTAATGCAATGAAGATGGAAGAAATACCTTTTGAATAGAGGGAGCAGTGGAAGAATGTAACTCTTTACCTTTTCATATTTATCAATTTGCAATAATGTAGGAATTAGGTCCCCAAATCCACAATACTATATGTACTTTTAATAACCTCTATGTGATTTCTTTCTTTGGCAGTATAAAGAAAAAGATTTCTTTCTTTTGCACTGACAAAAAAAGGCATATGCAAAACTTATTCTAAATAAAATTAAGCTTTTCAAGTTAGGTTTGTCTTTGTAGAATCAAGAGACAAAAGCATGAAAATCAAGAAACAAACAGTAATTAGAAAAGCATATTTATTAGCCTCAAAAGGTGAAGACTGGCCTTTGTTACAACTGAACTTTGATGGCTGAGGTTTGGGTCTATCTTGTGTGGTATAAAAAATGTGCTCTTCCACAATTCTCCATGCCCAGTACTGCCAAAGCCACTTCAACACACACACACACACACACACACACACACACACACACACACAGTACTCATGAACAATAGAAGCATGTGTCTGTTGACTCAAACAAAGATGATGCCCACAGTTGTCAAATCAGAATTATTAGTTACCAAAACCATATGTTCAGAATACTATGAAACAACTTTTATTTCATTATTCTCTTTAAATACCTTTGAAATCATCTCTAGGATAGGAGCAGTTTGGAGATAAGAACTGAAAACTAAGTTACACAAAAATATTTTAAGCATATTGTTAAATGCTAGAATACTGAGAAAAGCTCTGAGATTTGAGTGTGGGCTTCCGATATACTTAGCTGCCAGAGCGTGGGTGTAATTTCCTATACTTCCTCATTTGTTTTCCCCCATATTTCATTGAATGAAATAAAGGTTAGGTTGTCTTTACAAAAAGGGTTAATAATAAAGAGAAAAAGACCCTGGAATATTGGCCTTTTCATTGGCTATGTCCTTACCAAGTACTAAAGAAAGTCTCTTAAGAATTCATTTAAAGCAAATAATTTAAACAAGGGGAATAGAATCTTATAGCAAATTCTGATAAGTGGATATTAAGAGGCCAGGTAGATCATTCATCAGAAATTCAGTAGCTAGGAAATCTATTTTTTTTTATTTCAACTAGTAATTTGGAAACTGTTCCTTCCAGTTTTGAGGATTTGTCACTAGCTTCAAACGCTAAGGTTTTAGAACAATTTGCTCTTCCTTTTAGCAG